GAATCCCCAACCACCCCCCACCCCACACATAACGCCACAGCGAGCAGCGTTAGACCGCTCACTGGCGCCTGTGTACTACATATATCTCATTCTACCGCACCCACAGAACACCGCTTTCAATCGTGCTGTGTAATGTAGCACAATATCACCGTTTCGAGAAGACCGGTGTCCAGCGTGGGGGGGCGGGGGAAGGGCGGAAACATCGAGTGGAGGGTGGGGCAAGGGCATGGAAATATGATGGAGTACCTCAAAGTTTCATGCAAAAACGCATGATCGCACCGGCTCGCCTGGTGCGTTCCAGCCTGGGTTTTTGCTGGTTCTCGTACTAAAAACTTTCTACGTAAAATTTCACTTGACTGTATCTGAACTATAAACGTTCATAAAAGCTGAATTACGAATTCCAGGGTTATACATTCAGAGGAAACACCATAGTAAATTTTCAGCTTTCCGCCTTGCCGGTCCCCGAGGCGGTAACTTCCACGCGCCCGTACGTGAGGCTTAGGCGTAATGAGGGCTAAGTTTAAATTTATAAAATCAGGCATAGACTTGGTATATTACTTTAAAGTTTCAGCTTCCTTACTCCGTGATTCCCAAGCCACGCGCCAAAAATTTTATGTATCCGTACGTGGGATCTAAGCATACGTGAAGGCTGAAGTTTGCGGGGTCACACTTGGGCAGGAAACATTTCCTTAAAATCTCCCCATTCTAGCTTTTGTAGTTCCTGAGTCATTAATTTCGGCGTTGGAAATTTCACGTGGTCATACGTGAAATCTAAGCACGCGCGGGGGCTGAATTCAGTTTTATAAGATCACACGGGATAAGGGACATTTTTATCCAGTTTCAGTTTTCTAGCTCTTCTGGTTCTCGGATCATGAATTTTGGTGTCAAAACTTTAGTTTGACCACACGTCAGATCTTCGTGTCAGTGAAAACCGAAATTAAATTTGCGGGGTCCCGTATGGATGGGTGCAATTTAAAATTTGTGTCGTCTGGCTTTTGCAATTCTTGAGTTGAAAAGTGCGGACAAAATGCAGTAAGACACACACACGCACATGTACACATATGTATACACGTGCAGACAAGGGCCGGACAACATGCGTTTTGTGCAACTGTCGCACAGCACAAAAAGCATAAAAATACATAGATTTTACCGTGTGGTCGATTTCCTCAAACTGTCGAACCAGTAGAACTGTGCCTGTCTCTTTAACACTATTGTGCTGTGAACAGTGTCTGTCGTATGCGAAATATAATCGCTGACACATGCTGAACAAACATTGGCTGTGATGTGGGGCGCGGTAGAGTAAAGGATGACTGGACCGTACAAGCATTTAGAATGTCCGATAAATGAGCAGCGTGCATTTGGGAGCGCGCTAAGAGACAAAAACTCAGGCTGCGGTGCACCAGGCCGACTGGTTCAATCATGCTTTTTTGCACAAATTTAAAAAAGTCAGGTCTTTAACAGCATGAGTGTTTCCTACTTTACAGCTTTTAAAATATGGACTCATATTGATGGCGTTTTATCCTTTTCTTGCATCAGGAGAAAACCGCGTCGACTAGGATAGTGGTAGTGAATAGTAGTGTTGCATCACAAGTCGTGTCAACTTCCAGCGTTCACTATTATCAATTTTGCACGAAGAGAAATGAACAATTTCCGGTGACCAGGCGTTCATCGAAAAATGCAAATTTGACAATCAACAAATGTCGCGGGAAAGGAATGACGAAATTAACAAAATGCACTCGTTTTCATGATAGCGATGAGACTGTTTGTCATGTCCGTGTGCAGGGAAATTAGACTCCAAGCTAAATTTAGAGCACGGTTGAATATAGACAATCCTTGCAAAATTTAAGCTTCGTAGATTTTCCGGTATCTGAAATAGCCACAGATATCTTTAAGGTGTCCTAAGATGTGCCGCAGGTGCAGTTCTTAACTTCATTTAGGTATACAATTTCCCATATGGGCGATAAATATTCCGACTAATTACAGTTGTTGCTCTCCGCCACATTTTCGACTTGGAACGGTGCCAGCTGTGAGTTTTGACGTGACTGTACATGTGATACGAGCGTGCGCGATAGATAAATTTGACAGAGCAGCGAATATCCCTCCACGATTCCAGTCCTCTATGATAAGTGGTCCTCGAATTCAAATCCCACACAGGATTTGGATGTTTTTTCAGGCCTCTCTATACACACATTCTCTAGATAATGTTTTTTTCAGTATTCGCATAAGATCCAAAAACTCATAACCTGGCCAAGTTTCTGGCTTCGCTGATAGCCGGTGATATCGGCTTTCGCGCATGCCTGTCTCTCACTTACAGACAGATGAAAATTTGGGCAGGAACCCAGAAAAGCTGGGAAGTTGAAGTTTCGGAGGAATACAGCCCTGAGCACGCCTTAGTCTTATCCGTGAGCACTATCAACTCGAGAACCAGAACAGAGAGAGGGCCGAAACTTTAGAAAGATGTTTCCTGCCCATATAGGGCCCGAAAAGTCTAAGTTCACTTTTAAAGTGTGTCTATTTCTTAAGTCGTAAGGACAGTGAAATATGGGTTTGCAAAAATTTTCAACTGTCCTACAACCTGACTAGATAAATGTTCAGACTTTTTGTGTTACTCTTCTTGGCTATGTTTCCATTCTGGACTACACCGCTACAGGAACGAAGATCTTAGCATTTCAAACGAAAAAATTCTGCTCTGTTATGGTTTAAAAAAAATCAGAAGCAAAATTATCATTCGTCATACGGGCAGCCGTTTTAACTGATAGGAAAAACGCAGGTTTCCACTAACAACCTCGCTTTACTTTATTATTTTCAAATAGTCAAGTTTTAGTCAGTAATAGCTGCAAATTTATTCTTTTTTTATAAAATCGAAAAATTTTGCTAAATTTATCTGGTCTTTTTCTTTTCAGACTCCAGAAACCGCATCTACCGTTGATCTTCGTGGTGCAGCATCACGGCTAATTGAAGCATGTTCACAGTTGGCAGTAAGCTTGCAAGCGCCCCAGCAAGCTGCAGCTGTCGATGTATTTGTTCGATCTTATACCGATTTCCATACCGCAGTTACACAGGCTATCAAACAGCAGCAGGTTTAATTTTGATGAAAACTGAGGGAATTCTGAAAAACAAATCAAGGAAAACCCTTCATAATTTCCTTCTTTCAATATCTCTGTCGGAAAGATAAAGGCTGTCAGAATTATCGAACTGGTAGCACATGCCAAACGCAAACCACCTGTTGACGAAACCGTTGATGACTCCAATTTTTCGACTGTTGTTTATAAGTAGACTGATGTGATTAAGACTCATCGGCATGAG